AGCCAGCAGCGGTGGAGGGAGCGCGCGCTAATGGCCGCAGATTTTCAATAACAGCCCCTCCAGGTCGGTCCGAGCGGTGCACTGGCTGACAACTCCTGTTGGTTACCTGGTCCAGGCATGTGGGAATCTGGAGATGGAGACCATGACCACCGACTAAAGAGGAAGATGCAGCGCGCAGGGCTTTAAGCTTCACCAGCTGACCAGCGCGTTTTTCCCGGCATCTGAAGCGATATCTCCGGGCATGGAGGTGTGGAGCCCAGCGGAGGTAAACTGGCACGTCCGCCAGCAGGGGGGGGGGTTCCAGAGGTACGCTGATAATGGTCTAAATAAGTGACATCAGTGACAGAAAAACTAAGATCCCAAAGTTGTTGTCTGTCATACACCAGCAGAGAGTTGATGTCACAGATGTGAAATGCAAAAAACAAAAATAATCCGAACACCATCAGCAGAGGTGGATTGCAAGCCATGTACACGGGCGCCATCTTACTGGAATACTAGGCCTTTAATTAAAAAAGGTGCCTTTTTGTTCTCCGTTGAAAACTGAAGAGGAGGAAATGGAACACCCCTCCATTCATATGTCCATCCATCCATGTTAAAAGCATGATAACTTGAAAAATAAGGGGGCCGAGATGGTGTAGAGGCAGGGCAGCCGGCTTGGGACCCGAAAGTCCCAGGTTCGATCCCCAGTCACTGCACATCACGTGGCGTCTCTGGGCAGCACGCCTCATCCCCAAAATGCCCCCCGGGCGCCTTCAATAGCTGCTCACTGCACCACCTGGTGGTGGATGGGTTAAATGCAGAGACTAATTTCGCCATTGTATGGAAACATACAGTGCTGACATTGTGATGACATTCTTCTTATTATTATTATTATATAATGACTTCCTTTTGGTGTGTGGCTGCATCATAAATTGGATTTCCATGTCAAACTCCAAAATGACACCACCACCATCTATGTAAACCATCCACCTCTATCATTTGAGGAAACTATGATTTCTATTTTATAATTTCCTCAAATGATCCATCCATCCATCCATCCATTTTCTTCCGCTTATCCGGGGTCGGGTCGCGGGGGTAGCAGCCTAAGTAGGGAGGCCCAGACTTCCCTCTCCCCAGCCACTTGGGCCAGCTCTTCCGGGGGAATCCCGAGGCGTTCCCAGGCCAGCCGAGAAACGTAGTCCCTCCAGCGTGTCCTGGGTCTTCCCCTGGGCCTCCTTCCGGTGGGACGTGTCCGGAACACCTCACCAGGGAGGCGTCCAGAAGGCATCCTAAACAGATGCCCAAGCCACCTCAACTGGCTCCTCTCGATGTGGAGAAGCAGCGGCTCTACTCCGAGTCCCTCCCGGATGATCGAGCTTCTCACCCTGTCTCTAAGGGAGAGCCCAGACACCCTGCGGAGAAAACTCATTTCGGCCGCTTGTATCCGAGATCTCATTCTTTCGGTCACAACCCAAAGCTCGTGACCATAGATGAGGGTGGGAACGTAGATCGATCGGTAAATTGAGAGCTTCGCCTTTTGACTCAGCTCTCTCTTCACCACGACAGACCTGTACAGCGCCCGCTTCACTGCAGACGCTGCACCTATCCGCCTATCGATCTCACGCTCCATTTTTCCCTCATTCGTGAACAAGACCCCAAGATACTTGAACTCCTCCACTTGGGGTAGGACCTCCTCCCTGACCCAGAGAGGGCACTCTACCCTTTTCCGGCTCAAGACCATGGCCTCGGATTTGGAGGAACTGATCTTCATCCCGGCCGCATCGCATTCGGCTGCGAACCGCTCCAGCGAAAGCTGTAGATCACGATCTGATGAAGCCAATAAGACTACATCATCTGCAAAAAGCAGAGACGCAATTCTGAGGCCACCAAAACGGATCCCCTCAACACCTTGGCTGCGCCTAGAAATTCTGTCCATAAAAGTTATGAACAGAATCGGTGACAAAGGGCAACCTTGGCGGAGTCCAACTCTCACCGGGAACAAGCCCGACTTACTGCCGGCGATGCGGACCAGGCTCTGACACCTGTCATACAGGGACCTAACAGCCCGTATCAAAGGGCCTGGTACCCCATACTCCCAGAGTACCCCCCACAGGGCCCCCCGAGGGACGCGGTCGAAAGCCTTCTCCAAGTCCACAAAGCACATGTAGACTGGTTGGGCAAACTCCCACGCACCCTCCAGGACCCTGCTGAGAGTGTAGAGCTGGTCCAGTGTTCCACGGCCAGGACGAAAACCGCACTGTTCCTCCTGAATCCGAGGTTCGACTATCCGACGGACCCTCCTCTCCAGAACCCCCGAATAGACCTTACCAGGGAGGCTTAAGAGCGTGATTCCCCTGTAGTTGGAACACACTCTACGGTCCCCCTTTTTGAATAGGGGGACCACCACCCCTGGTATCCTCAAATGATTGTGTGTCTTAATACCTTACACTGAAACATTCAGCTTTACTTTCATTCCCTGTTCAATTCCAATTCAGAAAAACTCAACTTGAACATGTCCAACATTCAATATTTAAATCCCTCAGCAACAAGGACATCGGCATGCCGCTTGTTTCATCTTATTTCCTTATGAAGATGATACAAAAATACCAAGTCAAAACTTTTGGTCATGGGTTGGCAACTCTGTAATGGTGACTTTGAGAACATTGACATTTTAACTATTAGAATACTGAAACAATTAACCCTCTTTTTGTATTTACCAGCCAGTTACTGCATAATGTGAAGAATTTCCCTGGCCCTCCCACTGTGTTCACTGCAGTGCACAAAGCAGACGTTCAACAAGTTTCTGTTTGTGGCCCTCTCTTTCGTTCATTCAGTCTCTTTCTGCTTTGGCATTTTAACTTGAACACTTTTAATCTGTGTTTGGCCTTTGTCTTTTAGAATGGACCATCTGTCTCTATCCCTGCTGCTCTCAGATAAATAAACAAGAAGTGGCTGTCCGACCCAAAACATACCCCCCGTCGTGTAGCTTTAATCTTTTTGTTGTTTGTGAGACCTTGATGAGGCCTTCATTCCAGTAAATCCATACAACTTTGTTGTACAGAGCCAACTACTGTTCTTTGTCAATTTGTGCTTGTTTTAGTTTTAGTAGGGGTTATACTTGATTACAAATTGCATTGGAAGACTCATATTGATAATGTAAAAGCCAAAATGTCAAAAACTATTGCAATACTGAAAAAAAAAACATCTCCTAAATAAGAAATCACTTTACATGTTATACTGTTATTTCATACTTCCATATATGAATTATTGTGTTGAAATCTGGAGAAACGCATGTAAAACCAACACAAAACCGCTCTACATGCTCCAGAAGAAAGCTATCTGAATTTTAACTGTCTGATTATTTTCATCCAACCAATGAGATATGTCTGCATATTTTAAAATGTTATGACTTAGTAGAGCTCAGAACAGCATTGATTATGTACACAGCCTATAATAAACTTCTTCCAAGGTGTATACACCTTGGTTCAAAATTTAAGAGAAAAACTATGATTTATGAGAGAAGGATGTAATTAAAAAAAAAAAACAAAGGTTAGGATAAATATTAAAAACAACTGTAGTTCAGTTAGAGGGACTCAGGCATGGAATGGATGTTGCAAGGAGTTACAACTGTGCTTTTCACTCTTTAAATAAAAAAAAAAGTATAAAATAATTTACTAAACAAATATAATAAGGTTTGCTTATTAGTTATTTTTGTTTGTGTTTTTCTTTCTCCTTTTTTTGGTGTTTTTTTATGAGTTTGTCTTTTAGCTAGAATTCCTTGATATGTTTTAGAAAATTATATAAAAATATTCTGCTGCTTTGATTTTGATGTATAACAAAGTGAAGGTAAAATAAGCTTGTGCTTCTACCTACACTTTTTTTCGATCTACACTTTGTGTTTTTGTGTTCTTAATTTTGTGTTCTTAATTTTTTTTACGAAACTGGTTTGGTTCAGAATTTGTATGTATATGAAGTATATGAAATGAAGAATTATTATTTTCAACATATTCAAAAGTATTATGGGGACTGAATGGTTATGTTTGAAAGTTTAATATTTCCAACTTGCTTCTGAATCTGAGCTCACTAATGGCTTGAGAAAGACTCTGGATTATGTCTCCAAATATCCTCAGGAAACTACAGAGCCCAGGTCATGAGAATATCACTCTGCTTCAAAAACTATGCACTGCTTTGTGCCATGCTTCCTCTCAGGAGAGAGAGACAGAAAGAAACTAACTAGCTGACAATCTTACAAAAAGTCAGTCAGCTGTAAATGTGCTTCCGATGATTACTCTCCAGGATATTCAATCACAGCTATCAGATGATTCATGAGATATTTTGCTAACAGACAGACACAATAGTTAAATGGCAAAGTATGTGTTGAGAATGACTCTCAGCTACATCTGTGTCATATTGTAGCTCAGTATTTGTAAAAATGGCTGAGTTAGAGCTGTTTTGTTTTTGGTATGGTCATTTGGTTGGGGTAGATCTTGAATGGGGGGTTGACTCTAAAAGTTGATCTTTATTTATTTATTTTTAATCTGAGACTTTCATAAAAATGTATCTACTGATCCATGAGATATTTTACTAATGGCACAAACAAACATTATCGCCCATGACAGTGAGCGACAGAGAGACATGACTTAACTAAGAGTTTTACACAGTACTGTAGATGTATGAACGTTTCATACGTGGCTCTCAGCAGGTTTGTGGGTTCATCTAGTCTAAATCAAAGGATCTCTGAACTGGGAGCTCTCATCCCAATACGAGTTATTTTTTCTCTTCCTGGACTGTTGCTCAAAGACTGGCAGCTGGTTTGCATCAAGAACCTGTCAGGGAGGGGCAGTAAACACATGACAGCAGTGGAAACTGCAGCCTCAACGTGCCTTCACACAAAAGCACACAGAGCATTATGAAGTTTTATTCTCTTAAAAATCAGCTAAAACGCAAGTGGAACAGGAAAAAGAACTTAAAGAGCAAACTGAAACTGTTAGAGCAGACAAAACGAAGCACGAATGTCTTACTTTGAGCCCAGTCTGCTGCTGCTCTCCCATTCTGGCGGCAGAAGCTTGACAGTCAGTTCCTAGGAGGATGCAGAGAAGGCAGAGACTGGACAGAAATCTAGCAGCCATGTTTGAATTTCCCTGGCAATCCCCCCCCGTCCCTGTTTTGGTCAATGTCCTCTGGGCAGATCTTTTTGTTCTGCTTCTCTGCCTGGCTTTGTTTCTCTACTCTCCAGATGTCCAGATGCAGCAATGCCTCTTGTCCCGGCCCTGACTGGGTCCTGCAAAACTAACTTGTATGGACTTCCTCCCTCTCTCTCTCTCTCTCTCTCTCTCTCTCTCTCTCTCTCTCTCTCTCTCTCTCTCTCTCTCTCTCTCTCTCTCTCTCTCTCTATCTCTCTCTCTCTCTCTCTCCCTGCCCTTATTCCTCTCCCTTTGTGGGTTTGCCTCTCCGCTGAGCTGGGCCTAAATCACACACAGATGAGAAGCTGAAAGTAAGAGAGAAAGAAAGACAGGCAGGGAAGCAAATGAGCAATGGGGTCTGTCTCATGAAGAGGCAGGCCCTCCACCCCATGACCAACTGGCAGAGTTAGCACCCCGTCTCCATTTGCAGGACCATGGAACCCTCTTTCACCTTGGGCTAAGCAGGCAGCCTCCCCTCCCCCTCTGCCCACCCTGACTGCACAGAGCGTCTCTGGCTTCAACACTCACTCTGCACTCTGCAGGCGGAAAACGAACAGCTGTTCCCTATCGTGGCCTAGCTTTACTTCACAGCCCCATACATGAGCTTTCAGTTTGTTTACCATGAGTGAGAGAATCAAAACCCTTAAATTTGTGAGGCTATTACACAAGAAGTGCTTTCAGTACAGGAAAAGTTGTTTTCAGTGTGTAAAAGTAAAATGTCCTTAGTATGCACTACAGAAAACACAAAGGAAAAGTTCCTTCTGTACAAGTTGAATATAACGGCTTCACACATTTAAAAACACATCTATAGCAGAGCTAGCCACATGGAGTTTCTCTGGCTCAGGTGATGCTAAGGTGTCTATTTACATGTTAAAGAAGAAAACAAGGCTTCAGGTCTTACCACAAATGTTATATATTGCACATGCACACTATCATGTGACGTTTCTTTTGAAAGGGTTAAACAAATTAAATTTTGAACATAACTCAGAAAAGAAGGAACTACAGAAAGTTAACAAAATTCAACCCCTGAAATTTTTTTTTATTTTTTTTTATTTTTTATTATCTAAAAATGTTCAATCTGGTCCTCTGGACATTCAAAAAAAAAAAAAAAA